TTGAACGAAAAGACATAGAGACCTGAAATTTTGAACGTAAACTCCTAACGTTTAGGGGCAGGACGAGTTCGAAGATGGACACTGTGACATCGTCACACGTGTGACGATGACGTCGTCACAGTTACGAAAAGTGACGAGAAAGTGTCACATTTCAGTTTTGGCATGTGACACATCATTTTTAGCTATTTTTCAACGCCTAATTCAATGGTGACCTCCATTTTGACCTCAGAGGTCATATAAAGGTCATAGGGCATATATATATATATCAATTTAACAGGAAATTTGACGCTGATTTCGATGATGACCTTTATTTTGACCTCAGAGGTCATTTAAAGGTCACAGGGCGTATCTATGTCAATTGAAGAGGAAATTTAACCCCGAATTCAATGGTGACCTCTATTTTGACCTCGAAGGTCACGAGAGGTCACATAAAGGTTATCAATTGTTAAATTGGACACATCTGAGAAACCAACGTCGAAGACACGTTAGAAGTGTCAATTTTAACAAATTTTCGAACATAATATCATATTCGGTTTGACGTATGATACGCTTCTCTCACCCCTTGGTTACATGCGTTGTTACAGTTTATTAGAAATGACTTTTGAATGAAAACTAAAGTTTTGAACAGGTATGACTTAATTAACGTACATTATCTTTTGTTATAGCTCAAATGTTAAACGGCCGGGCATATCATGAACTTCATCCGTGAGGAAAATTTACCCGTATTTTTCATCAAAGCCGAAATGACCCAAATTAATATCATGTAAAACTAATCCTAAATTTAAAATCATAATCTTGTGTTGAGTCATTATTAATCTGGACAAGGAAAATCATAATAAAACAGGGTCAGAAATGTCTGCTATGCGGTATAAAATAATCTTACAGATATGGAGCAGAAACATAGATTTTCTTAAAATTTAGTACAGCTCGACAGCAAAGCATGACAATATCTCATAAAGTTTTCTTGAGGTAGATAAGTTTGTTTAATACTTAATATATTGAATAATTAATCTGTATGTGCATATTAGTATATATAAATGGTAATATAAAATGATCTTCCCACTTGTAATTAGTTGTAATACTTACATGACCCAAACTTGCACCTATTGTGACGTAATGAAAATTTCGCAATCTGCAACTATATAAATTTCTCAATGTTACACAATATTCATCTGGAATGAGCTTGTCCCATCGTAAGCCCCATACCGAGTCGTCCCGTCCCTACCCCGCTGCTATCTAGGTGTGGGACTGAATATCCCATCGTATATCAATACTTTGCATTTGAAATTCCTTTGTGCATAAATCAGTTGAAAGAAATATGCTGTGAATTTTAATATTATGTACGGATCGGCAATATTTGTTTATTTAAACATGAATTGATTGTTTTACATTGGAAAAACTTGAGTAGTAAACTGGTGACTGAATTAGTGGGGGCAGATATGTTACAAAGCTAACGTTGTTTCCTTTCCAAATCTTTTGGTACAATAAAATAAGTCGCATGGAGCTAATTCGAACCCAAATCAGCCCACACTCGAGTGCAAATGATGCCGCACAAACGCCTAGAAGAACTAGCCAAAATATAAATACTTCAGACATATTCCTTTTTACCCTCAAACTTTTTGGTCCGTCTTCCTCTGAACTGGAATTATAGTTCCCTTTACGTAGATATGATTTACCACTCTCTTCAAGCCGAACCAACTCGTCCGATATTCCCGAAAATTTTAAAGCATCCAACCACTCCTTCCATCTAGGGTCTATTCCATTCACGATCTTCCATCCACTCTTGTAAGACGTTAAGTACTCAGATCCAAGTGACCAAGACAAATCAGTCCTCTTCTCTTTAGCCCAACGGTATATTTCCTCTAGTTCCTCCATCCAGCCTAAATATGCAAAATTATCACATGCAAAATCAGTCAATAAATGTTGTCTATCAGATTTTATCAGTAGATTAGATCCATCCCCCATAAACTTGTCGTACATGACAATTTTCGCGTGAGCTATGAAATATTTTTTATCCTTAATGGTAAGCACATTGGTGAAAGAAAAGCTGGACGAGATTAACCTATCTATTTCAATGTGAGAGGAGAGTCCTGCCGCTGGTGTTGGATAGTCGATATCGATAAACTGATCAAAGAATTTGAACTTATCAACGTAAAGTTGACTAAAGTTAAAATATGGGATTTCCTTTTCTGGAGCAATTACCCGGGTGACGTTATCACCACGGAACGAGTTAGTTATAACGATGAAGGTCAAAATTATGGGGGTCGAAATGAAATAGATCCAAGTTTTTTTATGCCTGTTCTCCACCAGAGAATGCCCTTGCTCAAGAAACACCACTAACGGGAGAGTCATTTGATAAAGCCGGTTCCCACTAGGGGACTTATAAGATGTATGTGACATCGCAAACATAATAAAGATCCCAAATAAGATTTGAATCAGGCCGAGAAATATCCAAGTTGTTGGAGTAAAAGTGCTCAGCAATATGGCCAAGCTACTTTTTACCCTTCGCGGCCGACCGCAAGCTAAGAATCCGAAAGACTTTGTTTCCATTGGCAGCACAACATCCCATTCGGCCTGGGTGTCAATAATGGGCACGCTCTTCGCAATATCAGAGTGATAGCAGTATTGTCTCACATCTTCAGGATCTTCATAACCAGCGTACTTTGACACGATAGAGGCACATTCTTCCAATCTTGAACTGTCCATTTTCCACTTTCCCTCAGCCATTCTAATAGTAACGTTGGATTTTCCCTGCAACGTTATGAGTAATTCGTAATTGCTATCTCCAAAATAATTATATTCCGAAAACACTTTAATAGTTGGCTTAGAATTCGAGTTGTGTTTCTCCGTTTCAAAGGAACTTGTAAAGGGGAGAATGGCATAAACTGGAATGTGGTTATTTTGCTGAATAACCTTTAATATTTTGTGGTTCATCGAATTAAGCGTCAGCTCTAGAATTATATCTCCTCCCCAGCCTTTTTGCAAGGTATAGGAGAATGGCTTGCAATGCATACAAGGATTGAGAAGTTCTTTAATACAAACGTTGTCTCTAGAAATAAGTCGGACATTTATAATTAAAATACGCATTTGTGGATTAAAATTCAACTTGATGAACAGCTCAGCCATCCAGTCTTGCTCCTTCTGATCTTCCCCTTTGATAAGTATGTGGAACGGAAATTGCGGAAATATATCTGATAAACAACGATCACAAAATTGATCTGGCAATTTGGAAAAATAATTTTCTATTTTGAAGGCTGGCAAAATTATAGCTCTTGACGTCGTGCCACTAACGCTAATATAAAATCTGGCGACAGGATCTCGCCTTCTTTGTTGGAGTGAAGTTGTTCTTACTATATTTGCACAAGGAGAAGAATGTGGGTCGAAAGGGAAACATTCGGGAAAGCTAAAGTTCGAATTAGGGTCTAAAGGATACACTTCAATAGGATATTCGTCATAGGGGTTGATTCTAGTTACTTCGCAGTAGGGCACATGAATATATCTTGACACAATAATTGGCATGGAAAGTCGGGGTAAATTTATGTTTTGTTGATTAAATATGTGAATTGTTAAGTTTGCAAATATGTTTAACACAACATTCAAATTTGCAATCTCCATGGCTACGAGACCTAATCCTTCTATGAAAATTGGTTTAGTATGAAATGCAGCTTGTCCATGTCAGTTTTCTTCGGATTAGTGGTGATAGTCATACAACTAAAGTATTATATACAGTTGCATATAAATAAGTATTTATTTTCTTGTCGATTCCATTTGAATCAATACAAATTTAATCGAAAATGTAATCTTTGTAAGCATGTCGTGACTATTTTTCTATGCACGCAATGGAGTCGCCACATAAGGAGTGTAATAAATATTCAAAATATCGAAGCTGACTTTGCACACATGTGATGCTAACATTGCCAACATGGAATTTTACCGGTAATATGTACTATTACCTCAAGAATTATTAATTACGTACATGGCGTGATCACAAACTAATACCAAAGTTACTGGTGGCCATACTGTCAATGTATAACTTTGAGCTTTCTACACACATATGATTATGTACAAACTAAACTCAAACTTCCATATATGTATAAGTACCACGCCGACACTACGTTCGCAACGTCCTACTTCCCTCAAGCCTATTATCACCCAGGTGGGGTAGCAGACAAGATGAAGAACAGATGTACGAGAAGACAAAGATTTCTTGCTGGATTCGGTTTCTGCATATAGCCTGAACCGACCGGTGAGAGTGGCATGTACTGCCCGTCTCTCATATGTAGTATGTATGATTCCACTTGGAAGCAATACACCGCAGCAAGCGCACATAAAAATACAGCTTCAGTCTCACCTGACCTCAGGCATTCCTATGTAGCAACGTTGGTACGAAGAGTTTTAAGAGAATTACTGGTTGCAAAAAATACACACACCAGTTCATACTTGGGTCCGAAAATGCTTACGGAGATGGATGAAGTAGATGAAATTGAAATCCTTCAGTGAATTTCAATCGTTTGTTGTTTGTCTCAAATTAAATTATTGTTTTTTCATCTACAGAATAATTGGAAAAATCAGCATAATTAGAAAAATTGACATACATACATATGTATAGTGCATTGTATTTAAGGTTTTGAAACCGATGAAAGGATTTCCGTGCGAAAATATTTTGCATACCCAACTTTGGGTATACATAAATACGATATATGTACGTACGTATGTATCGTATCGATGAGAACAATGCATATATATATATATATATATACATACATAAAGAAGTATTAAATCTCACTGTTCCCTCTGCACAATTACATATGTACGCATGCACTCTTCACATGATTATTGATATTATAAAACTAATTCAAGCGCATGCTTTTTACACAAAAATCGATGTGTGTACATATACATATTTACGTCTGCACACTTATAAGCTTTTGAATTTTCCAGTGTGACTTTTATCATGATAATAATTAGTGAAGTAATTGGTAAATTTATAACGTATATCTCGTATGCATTTTATTCTTGGGTGAGGCACAAGTACATAAACCTGAGTTTTTCGAAAACGCATAAACATAGATAAGTATTTAACATTCCGCATATTAAGAGGAGAAATGTCAGATCGTACGGATGGCATTTGGTAATGTTTATTAAAACACAAGCTGTCAGAAACCCACAGTTTCATTTTTCAGTTGGTGGGAATAATGCTAATAATTATTTACAAAGAAATAAAGTTTGTTCCAAACATCCATATAATTGTTGAAAAGAACTTATTCTCACGGGCGCTAGCGTTCAGACGTATACATTTGTTTATTATAAATTTGTCTAATAAAACGATAAGTGTGGGTTTCGTATATTTCCTCATATATTTCATCTAATTTTATGCGTTATTTTAACACAGGTTTTTTTACCCTATCAAATACTGAGCTTCTTAGGTGCACCTTGCTATTTGCTCGGAGTAGCTCCCCACGACAGTTAATTAATATTACGCCAAGAGAATTTTTACTGATGGAAATTTCTTTCCCTCCATCCACATCTGTAAGGACAATATCATTCCCGTTTATCCAGACTGAGCTACATTTACAATTAAGAGCAGTTGACCTGTATGAATCAATAAATAGACCGTACTCTCCTTCCCTAAGAAAGCCTGAACAGGTAAGATTTTCAACGTGACTGAACTCAGTGTTGGTTAACATCACTCCACACGACAACTTTTCGACTTGGCTGTTACTTATGTTAATTCTGGAAAACCTATTGAAGTTGCCGAAAGATCGAATTCCAACCACCATATTGCTTCCGGTCACGTTCCAAATGGTATTACGGTTCGATCACGGCGCAATGTAAATACCAAAAGCGTAAATTCTTTCAAGCCGCACGTTACGGATAACATTACAAGATCCACCGAGATGTATCCCGTTCGGCGAATCGGACAATTTGACCTTCTCGAATTTATGATCGCTACCGGATGCGGAAATACACCAAGTTCCTCCGGATAATGTCACATTACAAAATGAGTTCCCACCACCCATCACTTTCAAACAGGCAATGTCGTTAACTTCGTCTTCTGTGCTTTTATAATCCTGCCCACCATGTAGAATTTTGAGGTTGCTGATCTTGTGACCCAGTCCATTCACGACGATACAGCTTGAGGATCCCGAGCCTTCAATAATTGTGGTTTCGCCATGTCCAATAATTGTGATGTTTTCTCCTTGTACCAGGAACGTACCACGGTAACGGTTTTCAATCAGGGTCACTGTTGATCCTGGTCTCGCGTCTAGCAAAAAGGAATGAAGTTCGTCTTCGTTTTTTGCAATAATATTTGTATTATTGTTGGCGATGCGAGTGATTGCACTATTATTCTGAATACTGTTAAATTTCCACACCACAATGAACTGACTTACTTGCTCCATATCTTTCAGCCTTTCGCCGACCTGTCGTTTTGCTAAGGCAATAATCAGTTCTTTGACCCCTTGAGTTTCCAGTGGCAATTGTATTAGCGATTCTTCCCTGTCGTTTACAAGTCGGTCGAATAGACGCTTCTTCTCGTTGAATTTGATGAGCTGAACAATCTCCCAGATTACCAATCCCAGCGCAAAAAGATCAGCCGAAAAAGTATAATCTTTTGTAAATGATTCAGGAGCCATGTAACCAAAGGTGCCAGCGCGACTCGTTAAGCTGCTATTTTGACTCTCCTCTAAATGCAGGTTTCGACTTAGGCCAAAATCCCCGATTTTTACCGGAAATACGAAACCGACTTTTGAGAACATCACGTTTTCCGGTTTTACATCACGATGGATAATTTTGTTATCGTGCAAATACTTCAACCCAGCAATCAAATTTCGAACTATGATAAACTGTTGGTAATGAATATTATCATCTTGTTGAGTAATTTGTTTTTTCAGCCACTTTCTCAAATTCTCGCCGCAAAGTTCCATTTGTATGAAAAATCCTTGTATGGTTGTAGCTATTCTCAATCTGTGTACTAGACCTGCTCTAAACTTGGTTTGTTCTTTCGTTTCGAATAAATTTTCCGGGAGTAGTTGCTCCATTTCAGCTAAACTAAGTTGCTTCTCAGTAACGCTTATTATTTTCACAACGTTCTCATGCTCGTCAAGGTTTGCCGTGATGGTGCACTCGCGACGAATTTGCTTCTCTTCTACTTCGCCTCCTTCAGCGTCAGATTCTGGGAAGAGCACCTTTACAGCGCTGGAAGAATTGGTGGCTGGATCAGTGGCGGCGAAGACGAGCCCAAAGGAGCCGTTTCCAATGCACGCGGAATAATTTAAGGATGACATGAGATCTCTTTTAAATTCGGGAGATGTTTAACTTCCTGCTTATTCTATTTCAGCTCTGACGCTGTACGCATGTGTAAATATGAACGTCAACATTGGCGATGTTCTGGAAATAAAAGAACAATGATGAACCCTACCAATTTTATGATGTGTGTAAGGTTACTATTATACGTACATGTAGCCATAATATCATCCCTATTTATTTGCATATTTAGCTCTCAAATCTAGCAGTATGCAGGGACATCAGTCGAGCACGCTGTGGGGAATCAAAGTAGGCATTTGCTCAATATTTTATCCTTGTATTGAGAATATATAAGTAAACAAAAGATTAACTCACTCAAAATAAATTAGTTCGGCCTGCTTTAAACGTTTGTGTATCGTGTAATAGTTTATTCCATTTCCCAAGAAAGTAAGCAGCAAAGATGGATAGATTTTGTCAAATTCCTTAACACCCTTGTCTGAATATGTATGTATGTAAATAGAACTCTATTAAGTTATTTGTGAAATATTCTTAATACTTCGCTTGGGTTCGCTTTGTAGCTCTGCTGTTGTGAAGTGATGAGAAAATGGTGGCCATGGCGACAATACTATGAGTCACAATCTGTTGTAAATTGGTCGATTGCATGATTAACTCAGCAGGTAAGTCTGCATGCATTAAGTAATACGCAGTTGGTTATATGCATGCATATCTGAATTAAAGTTCCAGAAGTAAAAAAGTGGAGCGAGATTAAATTTGTCATGGGAGTGTGAATTTTAATTGACAAAGTACGTATGTACATAGATATGCAATCGTATTTTTTATCTAATCAATACGTACATACATATGTTACAAAACAATTCGCACCTGCGAAGTCTGGTCTTCACACTTCCATAGCTATCAAATTTAGTAGGTAAGAAACGGATAATTAAATTAATCAATTGCAAACAACATGACAATTTGTCAATTTTAACCTAGATAGTGTTACCTACGAATATTAAAGTATTCATTTGAGGTGTGTTTATATTAATAAAATAGTGAAGTATGTTTCTGTACATAATGTGTGCACAGCACGAGACCTGTGATAAATTAATGGACCAAATCGTTTGATTTATTCGCACATCAAACACTTGGATGTTTTACCAATAGTTATGGACTGGTCGGTGAAGTTAAGTGTCAAGCTATATTAACGTACAAAAAATGAACGCACGAATCAAATCTAATGAAACTTTTGTGGAATATTAACGATCACCAGACCGAATTTTTTTAATCCTTCAGTTGTCCAAATACCCCTTCCGTACCGGTGGAGAGAAGACTTTGTCGAGGACCTCTCATGAGCGCTTTGCCACTCGTTTCACCAACTTGTATCATGGTTTTCTCCATAACCCGCCGAAATTTTTCGAAATTTCTTTGTGTCCTTTTTTCAGGGTATATTGTTTCTCAATTAATGCCAAAAATCTTTCAATGGGTCAACACTGAGGTACGTTTGGGGCGATGCCTCTTTGCTCGAAGAAATCAGTTTTTTTCCCTCCATGATACCCTGTCAGTATTTTGGCATCCTGACACGTAGTCATGTCAGGTCCAAATAAAACGTTTTGGTTTTTGATAGAGGGGGTCAATCTCTTGATGACACACTCTTTCAAATAAAGTGCAAAGTTCATATTCTTCTTTGAAGCGAATGGATTGGAGATGCTCCCATTTTTGTCGATCGCCAGCCATTTTATGTATTTCATTGGAAATTTTGCTTGGCTTTGAATTTATATTTCGAACGAACGTAATTTTTACTTCTATTTAAATGAGTAGAACTTTACACGATTGACGCTCCGAGGTCGTCGGAACAGTAGTTTTCATCATCCACGACGACAAACTTCTTGGAATCGATTTCAACATTTTCTCAAAAAGTTTTTCTCAAATTGTTTTAGCTCCGCCCTTTTCATCTTCATTGTATTTTGGCCCGGATAAAGTGTTGCAATTTTTGAAGCCCATCTTATTGGCTTTGATCTTGCGAAGATAACTTTTCGAAATTTTTAGTTGTATGGGTGCAACCCTTACCGATCCCTTCTGGTTTTCTGTAAATTTTTTTTCATGTTTCTCGTCAGTGTTTTGGTCTTCTGGCGGACAGGTCGGCAAGGCCAATTTTTATATTTTGCATTTTCACGATCCTTGTATGTGTACAGTGAATGATTAATTGTGGCCGGTAAATCCCTTGAGAAATGGGGTGGTCAGGAGCCTTTTCCCGATCCGAGAAAATCACTTTTTTTGCACGAGTGGCAAACTAATTTTTCCACCTCCTCTACATTTTGTACTGTCATTTTCTAACGAAAAGAGATAATCAAATTCTGTTTTCGGTTTTAGAAAGCTAATTAAATTTGCTAATTTTTCTGATTTTTACATATGCAAAATTAACGGTTAACTGGTTGAACCAATAGGGGGAACCCTGACACTTAACTTCACCGACCAGTCCATAACATTCGTTCTGTGCAAATTTTTCATCAAAAGATATGCCACATGCAATAAAAAATACATTGCAAAGTTAAAAAGATTATGCGGGAGGTTTTTTTTCTCCGCCTCAATCTTTTGAGAAAAATAATTCTGACTTTTGACCTGTCTAAGACATTAAAATCGCCGACGTCGAAATTGAGAAACTTTTGACCTTTTTGTAGGAAGTTTCAAAACTTGTAAATTTGAATCATGTCAAAATAGAATATTGTGCTCGTACATATGTTGCATACTGTACTGGATGATTTAAATGATTCGCTACAATTTGAAATATTTCAATAGGAGAAATGAATATGCATTTACTATTCAGAAGAGTAATTTTAGCCATAAAAGGGTAACAGAACTAGCCAGGTGGTACTGGATGGGTCACTTTGTGAACGTCATATATTACGTTATCAAAAAAACACCGGTTTTTAGGCCAGCAATCCATCCCTCTTATATTTTACTAATGTTAAGTTGAAAACGAGATAGATATATCCATCCCAAAACCCCCACCCATCTTTTTGGTAACATTATTATTGGACGTCCCCTTTTATTCTTTGGTGGAGCATATATATGTAAATACATTCGTGGCCTTCGCTCTGGTCAGTTATATTAATCCTGTCCTTTTTACCAGTCGTCAAAACAACAACCTCTTCCATTGTTACAAACATGACTGAAGGACAGTAACACGCTTGGGGGCTGTACAAAAAACATGTAATCCGTTTTCAGATAATTTTGACCTCACCCTACGGTGTTACGTATGAATATATGTCTCATGTTATAATTAACATTGAAGGATGCCTATAACTACGACCCTCGGCATCAAATCGATCGCATCCTTTTTGCACGGTCACTTTAGTAAAGTTCATTGACTTGGCTTCTGCAATGCATGAATATTCCAGCTCATTCCAAAAGTATGAAACATGGTCACCTTACCTCGCTCGCTATTATCGATACCGTAATAGGGAGCACTACCGTGTCTAGTATTGTGACTAGGGCTTCCCACAAGACGGGACAGTCTTGTCTTGTCTTGACAAGACGGGATAACAAGACGGGACAAGACGGAAATTTACGTCTCGCGTTTTGGCAAGCAAGACGGGACACGGGACGGGACAAACAACGTCTTGGCCCGTCTTGTCTCGGCAAGACGGGACGTCTTGCGACAATTTTAATATGATAATTTCGTCTCGGAATTCATCAAAACTGAATTTAAAACTTAACACAACGATGGTATTTGTTCAGTAAAATATAACTTAAGTGAAATTGTAATTCACTTAAAATGGAAATTCGATCGAAACGAATCATCGAGTATTTTTCGGATAGCTTTATCTAAACCGTTGTCATGAAATAGAATTTAGAATTTAGAATTTTGTGTACAATACGAACATGAAGTCAAGTCTTGAGAACATAAATTTCCAAACAAGCAGTTTCCCATCAAACCAAAACAGAGGTTTTCCGTTTTAGGGATGTCAAAGCTCTTTTTCCCACTCCCCTGTGTAATGTGATTTTTACCAGTCGAAACCTTGGTTAAATTATTCTGTAATTAGCAAAAACAATTTGTATCATGCATCCTGAAGAGAACTTAAATTTTGTGAATGGATTTAAAATTTAACCCATTTAAAACATGTACGTCCCGCGTGGTCCCGTCTTACACGGGACGGGCAAGACGGGACGCAAGACAAGACGGGACAGCTTGTCGTCCCGTCTTGTCTTGATATTTCGTCCCGCAGATTCTAACAAGACGAGACAAGACGTATAATCTTGTCTTGTCCCGTCTGGTGGGAAGCCCTAATTGTGACGGTACCCTCGTAGAAAACTGGTATTAAATTATTACCGAACGGAGTACATATTTATGCTTGGAAGTTACATAAAAGGTTAATATGAGCATGTCAAAAACAATGGGATTTTATTTCTAACGTACTACATGAACGTTCCCAACATACACTTCTAAACCTGGACATGTTATCCTTCCCATGGTAAATATAGACCCTTCCTGTGAGAAAGGGACCCTTCTTCCCTCAGTCTTTCTACAAACCGCAACCTAGCATCACGTTACAAAGTTCATAAATTCCCGTTCAAATTACACACATTCGGAAATATAAATAAAATGTGTACAAGTTCCAGTTCTCGAAAGCATGAATCTTGTGATGCATCTGACATCGCAGCAATGCTTGTGTTAATCCTTGTCGCGGTTATTTTTTTGGTTTTTACTATAATTTTTGTTGTTAACGATTGCTCCCGGGAGGCGCAGATTCACCTGAATGCCAAGTCTGGCAAATGGGAGGCTTCTGATTGGTCGTTGTACGACGCAAGTACCCCGCCCGGTGGGGATAGTAACGCTACCCGGGTGAAAATTAGCTTCACCCGGGTAACCCCATATTTTACGGGGGGTTCGTACAGTTTGGATTTGGGGCTCAACTTCGTCCTCGTCCAGACCTGGGGAGATGAAAGACTGGTGGTTAAATCCGATCCGGAAGATGGTGAGTCCAAGCAAAGCTTGTTTAAGCGGGTTTTGAATTTAAATTTTTGAATCTCAACTATCCCTTCTTCCCTGTCTTCAAAACATACATACCTATGTACCTGTTCAAAAAAAACTTTTTCATTCAAAACTCAGTCGTCCTGATTTCTGAATGAAAACTTTCTTTCACACTCATCCTTAGTCAATTTCTCTCAAACTCGCTTCATCTGGCTTCATTTCTTATTTCCCCCCATGTATTAAGCATAGGGTGAAAAATGAATGAGTGCGATATCCTTTCATTCACAGTCACTCATCTGAAATGCAGGGGTGGGCAAGATACTTGGTCAAGATACAAGATAAAAGATACAAGATAGTATCTTTATCTTGTATCTTGGTCGCCTGATCAGAGAAGTATCTTGTATCTTGTATCTTGTATCTTTTAGAAAGTCGAATAGTATCTTGTGTAAGTATCTTATCTAGATATGCCTGGCAAAAAAGTATCTTAAGATAGTTTTGTTAAGATACAAGATACTTTTTCTCAAAATTCCGTCAAATTCTTAAGTCAAAGTCAATTTCGTACTACTGGCAGTCAATTTGACTATGAATTTGTCGTAACCAGAATTTGGCGAATTTTTAGTTTATGTTTTGCCAATTTGTAAAAAACTTCTACATACATATGTACATATATTCATATATATATACATATATATACATGTATTTATGTATATATGTTCATGTGTACTCGTACATTTGTACACGTACATGCACATTACATGATATGTACCTACGCTGAACTAGTGTATATATCTTATAGGGTTTTGACAAGCAGGGAATATTGTAAAAATAATACTAACTTCTTAAAAATATGTATGTTAGGTAGAGTTCTAGTTTTTCGAAATTTTTCGAAGTATACGCACTGGCTACAAAATTTGTAAGATGATTGTAGAACGATTTTAAATTTTGTACTCACTAGATTTTTTCGTGCAAATTATTAAACATGACCAATTGGGCATGAATACCAAGCTAAAAAAAGAAAGTATCTTATCTAGTATAAAAGTATCTTAAGATACATATCTTGTATCTTGTATCTTGACTACTCAATCTTTAGGAAAGTATCTTGTATCTTGCATCTTGTGAACTTGAACAAGATGTATCTTTTATCTTGTATCTTATATCTTATCCTAGAAAGTATCTTATCTTGTATCTTGTATCTTACGACCAAAGTATCTTGCCCACCCCTGCTGAAATGACTAAATCCTTCACTCATTTTCATTCAACATTATTCTCTCTCATAATCAGTCACAAGAATGAAAGTGAACAGGTATGATTCAAAAGGCGACTTTGAAACATGTTTATCTCCCTAGGTTTTTTCAAATCGAAGATTTGATTACTTATAAAAATTCAATAAGTATTATGTTTTATACAAAGATATGTAAATATGTAGTAAGTAGGCTAATTTTTTTTATTTTTTTTTCCTCCATGACGAAATTACTTGTAGGTTTGAAATGTATTTTATTTTCTTCGCATGGAAAAGAAAATTAAAGTTTTTATGAATCTCCTAACTTTGTAACATATAAATTTTTAGAAGCAGTAAAATCTTACTTTGCAAATATTTAGAAAATGGACACGTTTTAAAATTGCTCTTTAAATATATGTATCGATGAAGGGATCTTTGAGACAATAATTCAAATTCAAAATTCAAATTCAAAACCCACATTCAACAGAAAGTCAACTCGTTTTGAAGAAAGGAAGCTTTTCGAGATTTTGTGAAAATTTGGTGCCATTCATAAATATTTTAAAATTTTATCATACATTTGTTTCGCTTTGTTTTGTTTTAATAGCGTTGCAAAGGTTGAATTTTAATCAAATATGATTCCATTTTGATTCGCAGTGAAGAATACAGCGACAATTAAGGAAACGAAGGGGGAGCAGATTTCCATCTGGAAACCATCCCTGGCCACGGACCCGACCTCTTGTTCCGGCCCTGGCAACCTGATTGGGGACGAATCCTGGCTCCACGGGGATGGACGGGTTTGTGCTAAAGTTTCAATTTTATCCATCACTGCTTAGCGAGTAATTTAACCTCTTAGCGACGAAATACACGAATTCATTGTACTGCATAAATCACATTGGCACCAAGATTTCTAAAAAAGAGAGTATTTCTTTAATACTTTGTGGAAAACTCGATGGTAAAAAGTAGATTTTTTCTTCCCAAATTTTTAAAACTTTCCCTATACCAACCAATGTTATAGACAGGATTTATCGTGCATTTCGTCAATAATTAGAAAGTCGTTGAAATTTTAATTAGTTAGTATTTATCAATTATGAAATCAGCACGGTATCGAAGGGAAATATAAAAAATCAACTTAACACTGCTTCTCAAGAGAGCAGGAGAAATTTGGAGTTGGAGTAGTTTCTTCGGACTATTTTTTTTTTCGTTTGATGCTATTTTTCCAATTTTTTTGGTCTGGCCCAAGGTCCGAAATAACCTCTGCCATGATGGCAGTGCCATCCGGTGAGGTAACTTTATGTAGACTGCCAAATTGTATTTGGGACCTAGCGCCAGACCACAAAATTTATCCCCTGCACGTTTTCATCATGTTGCAAACTAATTTGACAAACGTGAAGCAGGCATTGTTTTAGGCACTCAAATTCCCACAAATTGCGCTATCATCGTTTGAGAACTGGCATAACTGTAGGCTAAACCATGCGGGTAATGTCGTTACTAAGGAAACTTGTCTTGCGCCGCTTTCTATAATTTGAAACCAGTGAAATTTTAAGATGAACTTGAGTGGCTCCTTAGTTTTCGAAATGATTGTTAAAGGGGTAAATGAGTTTAATCTCCTTAATCCAGGTGTACCGGACGCAACACGTCAATCTCATCTTACCTCTGTCCCGCAAAGGAAATTCGAGCAGCCCAGCCCCTCCCACGAAGGACTACTTTCTGGACATTTTCTCCACCCGGGAATTTCTCGCTGGGGTCGTCCTCGAGTGGAAGGGAGAGGATCCCGTCAGCTTCAAGAGGGACGAGGAGGAGGCCGAGAAACGGAGGAAATCTGGCAACTATACCGCACCTCGGCCCAGTCTGGTCATACATAGTGATTCAGCCCGTTGGCGGGTGGGTTACAGCGTGGGAAAATGTGAGATGAAGGAGGCCCTTGGCGACAAAGGGTCCAATTTTATGAGGGAGTTGGCCTGCCTCCGAGTGGGGTTTAAAATTGAGAGGGTGATTTCTAAGTGAGTAGGTGAAAAATAGGGGAATCTTTGTTCATGCAAAATTCGTTGGTATTTTTTGCTACTTCCTGTCACAAATTTTGATTGTTTTTACATTTGTTTGTTTTGGATGTCGTAAAACTGGTAATAATATGCTCCGAAAATTTATAAATATGTACAAAATATACGAATAAAGACACATCCTCTTTAAAAACATGTTTTTAGCTACTTGGTAAAGAATTCTTAATAACCGTCTTTACCGAGCTCTTGGTAATAACGCGTCCTACAAAAATTATACGGGGTTATTACCGTATCAATACCAAACGGGTAACTAGCCTTCCACCGCAATGTTTTAAGTTATCTTTATAATTTTGGTAATAAATTCCTACGAGCCGGTAATTATATCCTACAAATTTAGATAACACTCTTTACCATAATTTTCATTAAGTGTAGTAAAAATTTTTCCCGTTGTGGTGCTGATGAGATCTACATTTTGGTGTAGTTTATTACCATAGAGTCAGGCATTTTAATACATTTGGTATGAATTGTGAGACGCTACTCAGTGGCGCATTTTTCACTTTTAGTTTTCGCTCAGCTCAACTCGAGTCAACATGGCGAAATTAATTCGCGTGTCCAATTCTGCCCGTGGAAAAAAACTGATAAAAACATCTGGAAATTATACGGAATTTTTGGAAACAGGTAAGTATAAAATTATCATATGTATACACCATCTTAATAGGTAGTAAAGTAAGCAAGAAAATAATCTCTAGTAAATAACAATATCATGTTTTTATTTTTTCAGTGAGCCAAAAATTTGAGTTGGAAATTGGAACAGAGATTTTTCTGCAAGACGACCAGGGGGCGGAGATCGACGACGAAGCTTTCCCTATCCTTGCTGAAAGCCTTATCACCCCAAATATTGAATTCTTTGTGAAGGGCGAAACACAAACCGAAGTAGAATTGGATCCGGCCTCTCCAGTTTCATCAATAATTTACGGTGAGCAATTTATCAAATTTAAATTATTTCTAGTCTGCAGCTTAAACAATTTATCGTATCTTTTTAGTTGCACGTCCTGATGAGTCGCCGATGTCCAGTAATGGTTTCCGAAGAACACAAATTTTCAATGAAGTTGATATTTTCACACAGGTTACAATCAGTTAATGATATTTATAGCTGTCTGAAAATAATTATCTAAAATTTTAATTTTTGAAGATTGTGAACGCTGCAGTGACTGAGAGCGCCGAGATTTCCCGTTTAGTTGCAGAGTGCAATGAGAAAAACTGCGTCGATAAAACGTCGTCGACAACTTTAATTAATGAATTTGTTGCAAAGCTAATAGAGGTGAAAGGGTGAGTCGCTAAAGCATTCTTAATATTTAATAATAGATTTAAGTTGACAAATTTAATTTCAGGCTTTCTCCTACAACCTCTGACCAGAAACACTTAGCAGCTGCAATAATTAAGCTACTGCCTTCATTGAGATATTCCAAGTCAGTAGAGGGTCTGGTGAGTGAAGATTTCGTGAATTATTTAAATGTGCTCTTGTATCGAGAATTTTTAGAAATTCTCAATACAAGAGCATTTTTAATCTGCAGGACATTTTGTTTGATGACGTCAACCGATGTGGACTCATCCAAAATCGACTGAAGACGATTCATCGGAATTTGAAGGGGGAACAGAAGAGTGTCAGTAAAAAGCGGGAGTCGACTACTTCAAATTCCGGCCCTAAAAAGAAATTCTCAAGACCAGTTCCCGAGAATTTCGAATTTAATCAGGAACTAGTCGACGAGCTCAACTCTACTTGCACAAAGGACGGAGTTGTGAAAATAAAGCAGCTGATGACGGATACGCTAGGTCATCGTAATATTTTAAGAAGCGCTGGGGATAAGTCCATCTTAAAAATTTACAGAAAATTTTCCGAATGTAACTTCATGGTATTTACATATTTTTGGAAATTTCCAAAACAATTTGAGTTGACTATTGTCTAATTTAGCACTTAAATAATTTCGCAGATTAACTATGAGTTTAAAACTGGCCTGGATTAGCAGAAGGAATTGTCAAGAAAGCCAAGGAGATCAGCAAGTCACCAGCGCTTTTAAAGTTTATTTCGGAAGAATACGGTATTTTTTAAATATGTATTTAACGTTGGATTAGGTGACTCTTCGCCTGTGACGTCATGTGTGTAAAAATCTGCACATTTTTACTCATTTCTCTGTTCTGGGATTTTATATAAAAATTCTATCAAGTGATTTCGTAGTCAGCAAGCTGATTAATAGAATGGCGATAAGATTTTTAAAGATGATAAGCCAAATCTGTTGAAACCTAATTTTTCTCCTCCTTCAGAACGTATTAAAACCTAGAGTGCATATTTTTAATAAATTGGTGCTGACTTGCTCTACAAAATGACCTGATAGAATTTTTAAATAAAATCCAAGAACAAAGAAATGAGTCAAGATTTTTACACCAGTGACGTCACATGCGATGTATTACCTAATCCAACGTTAAACAGCTACTAAAACTACAAGAGAACACTACCAGTACTGGGACAATTAATTTACGACATCTCTTTTCAGGTAATTGGGACAAGAGCATTTTTGGCTTTCTGACTTTGTCGTACTTGATCCCGCACACCGCACAAGGAAAAGGGAACGGAAACCGTTGCAAAACCAGTGACGCTAAGGGTCGAATTTTATCTTTCTATAAAGTATGCTAAGTAACTAAGGAATTATTCATTAATTAATTCCATGTCATAGTCAAAATGTTTCTTCTGGTCAGACTGGAACACTTCTTCAGTCAATTCTTGACACGTGGAAGAAGGAGACAACTCAGCCGAACTTACTTTGCATTGGAGACGATTCAGCAAATCTGACCAACTTTTTCATCGTCTGCGATGGCGTAATTCTTCCGCTGGACTCGAAAAATTCGACAGAAGCCATTGACTCCCTTTTCAAAGCCCATTATGTTTTTGGCACAGATTATGACGTCAACCTGAAGGGTTTGTGGAAATTCGTCCAAGTATACATTTACAAGTTAGAGGTGGATTCGCAGCTCCCAAGAAGAGTCAAGGAGGTCTTCAGCCAATTGCAGCAGTTATTTTAGTGTGAACTCTTGGAAATGTTTGTCTGTGTTGATTGTGACAAGGTAGTGTTAGGCAATAAGGAATTTCAGGAACATGTTAAATATGTACATAACTATGCGGAATTTAGTTTTAGGAAAATTGTATGTCCTCACGCTAATTGCTTTATAGAAATTTTTACCTGGAGTGGGTTTTTGAGGCATATTAAGATGCACAAAGATGTCAATCCACCGATAGAGATTGATATCCCAGTAGAATCAAATGCTAGTAGTCAATTAGGTTTGTTCGGTGAAGATGAAAATGAGGATGTAGCCGGAGGTATCGAAAATATTTCCGTAGAGACAGGAATCGAATTTATGATAGAACAACTTAGTGAATTTTGCTATTCGTTACTTGCAACTGGCCTTACTAATTCCAGTATAGACTTAATTGTTAAACAATTGTCACACACCTTTTCTCAGAGTTTTGATTTAATTTTAAAAATTGTGAAGCCATTTTGTGAACAGGAGTATGACACACTAAATTTGAAAATAAAGCCATTGTTGCAAGCTTTCCGGAAGGTAAAATCTGTCTATCAAAGGCAAAAACTGTTTGCAGACAAAGATAAGTTACTTTTCCCTGTAGAAATTTCGTTGGGCTGTAGAGAGGAATTAAGAATTAGTAATTATAAAAGGAAGCAAGTATTTGTAGCTGAAACATTTATGTACGTACCCTTACTCAAAACTTTGGAGAAAATTCTTTCTGTTCCACATTTCAAAAATTATTTTCAGTCTGATCAATGCTTAAGTGACAAAAATTATTCATGCTACAGTGCGTCTCAAAGTTTTAAAGAAAATTTATTATATTCAGGTCACCCAAACTCTTTACAACTTCAAATTTTCTACGATGACTTTGAAACTGTCAACCCGTTAGGATCTAAGCGGGGTGTTCACAAATTAGGGGGGATTTATTTTGTATTACGAAATCTACCAGACTTTTTGAATTCTGAATTAAGCCAAATTAATTGATTAGCGCTTTTTTATTCTGAAGATGCAAAGAAATACGGAATTAATTCAATATTTAAATATTTGCTTCCAGATTTGCAAAAGCTAGAGCGTGATGGAATTACGGTAGCAGGACTTGGGACAATTTTTGGTAGTTTGTGTACATTAGTGTTTGATAACTTAGGGGGTAATTCTCTTCTAGGATTTTCAGAATCTTTCAATTCAAATCACTATTGTCGAATCTGCTGTATTTCCAAAGACGAAGCTCAAAAAAATTTCAGACATGAAGACATGATAGTTAGGAATAGAGAAAATTATGCTTATCATTTATTGCAAAAAAGTCACGGCGTACAACGTCCTTGTATTTTTAATGAGCTGCAATATTTTAATTTTCTCGATTCTCCAACTGTTGACATCATGCACGACCTGTTAGAGGGCGTAGTGCCTTATGAAATCAAACTTGTTTTGCAAAAATTAATATATTTAGGATGCTTTACAGTAGAAATTTTGAATCAACGGATATTAGCCTATAATTTCGGATATATTGACTCAAAAAATAAACCCAGTCCCATAAGGCTAGATATGGTAGGGAACAAAATAGGTCAAAAAGCTGCGCAATCATGGTGCTTGATTCGCCATTTGCCAATTATTATCGGCGATCTCATTTCCGATGAAAAGCATCTAAAATTTTGGGAATTACTTTTACAACTTTTAGAAATAATGAGTTTGGTTTTCTGTAGACAATTTTCTGAGATAAGTTTGGATACGCTGAACAATTTAGTGTGCTCCCATCACAAATTGTTTGTAGAAATTTTCCCAGAAAGTCGTCTAATTCCCAAGCACCATTTCATGTGCCACTATGCATATGTAATTAGACGCTCTGGGCCACTAATTTCTCTTAGGACTATGAGGTTTGAAGGAAAACACAATTATTTCACACAGCTTGCAAGTAATCTCAAAAACTTCAAAAATATTTGTTATTCTTTGGCAATGCGGCACCAGCAGTATAGCTCAGTTATGTTCAAAAATACTGCATCTGAAGAAATAAGATGTGACAACATTTATTGTGTAAAATTATCCCATTTTTCAAACTCATTTGACGTAATTGAGTTGTTAAGAAAGGTTCCAGAGTTTGTGAATTGTGATTTAGAAACTGATATATTTACATCAAATCAAGTATGGTACCGACATTATAATTATAAATTAAACTTTGTGATATGTCTTAGCATGGGAGATATTTATCCAAACTTTGCATTAATTTCTGAAATTATATTAACAAACGATGACAATTGTTTCTTCGTCGTCCAGGAATTGCATGTAGATTACTTCGATCGACATTATTTTTCATTTAAAGTTAAATACTCGGATTCTATGTTTAGTATTGCTAACGTGAAAGAGTTATATATACTTGATTGCTTTGAAATAATGCAAAATTGTAAAACGGTTGGTAATTATATAAGTGTACGACAAAAATTCTAAAATATTTAGCTTAATTTAAATTTTATGTAAATCTGTATATACATGTGTATGTATGTAACACAATAGTTTGCATTATACTTTAATTTTATAATTTAAGTATTTTATAATTTGAGTTTTTTAATTTAATAATTTAATAATATAATTATGCAAGCATGTTTCAAAATGATTTTGCAATAAATATAATTGATTGAAAGATTATTGTAAAGAGAAACAAAAAAATCTATTCTTTTCGGTGGAAATCTGTACAACATTTGGTAATAATGGGGTATACGTAATACAAAGCATTAATACCGGGGTGAATAGCACACCGTGCACAAAGTGGTATGGTTTATTACCAGGCGGTAGATATTTTACTACATATTGTAGTACATCTGTCATACATCATAGTATGAATTTTATCCCAAAAAGTGTTCTTTATTACCACTTCGGGTTCAATAAATTTCTTTACCAGCCGGTGGTTATTATTACCGTTTCTGCAGAGTCATATACGTGTGCATTTTGGTAATGATTTGGTAATGATTTTATTTAGAGTGTGCAGTTGTCACATGATACATCACCATGTTTTTGTTATGTTGAACTCTGCACAATGACAATTTCCGGCACATTATGCTTTCCTAATTATTCGTTACAATTCAGTAAATATATAAACTTAATTATCATAAATTCCCCATAATCCGTCCAGAACTCATGAGAAGAGAACTCTTGCCGTGTACCGATTGAATTTTGGGAAAAGTTCGCTTCAATATGTGCATCTCACTTGAATGGAAAATATGTTTTTCAATGGGAAAAAATGGATCCATTTACTTTTCAGAAGGGCACATAAACTTATCCTTAAACGTGTAAAAGGATACCGAGCAAGGTGATGGTCTGGTGGATGGGTCACTTTGGGAACGTCCATATATTACGTTATAAAAAAACACCGATCTGTACACCACTAACCCACCCCTTTCGTATTTATGTATTTAGAGTGTAGGAAGGAATATGATCTAAAAAATCGCAATTTCTGCCAACGTAATATATGGACGTTCCCTAGATACCCTTTTCTATCCCCAAATTTAGTAGTATCCTTCCCATAATAAAAATACACTTCCTGTGAAAAAGCTACCCTTCTTCCCGCTGTCTTTCTACACACCGCATCACGTACATATTTATGTCCACGTGGCAACAAAGTTCATAAATTTTCCGTTGCACAATATTTTTGGAAATATACATAAACTAATTCTTTAAAAAAAAACTTAGGTGAGGCTTGCTTAAAAGGAGAAAACAAGATGCTATCATCGTGTAGTAACATAATATGCTGAATCAATGTTCATTTCATGATTTGTAATTTTCGGTAAACAAAACAGCAAAGTATATGCGTTTGGGACCATTTGCCTTGCCGTGGGCCGTGATTAATTGAATACAAAAATGCCATCTTACATAAATATTAAAATTTTGCTATAATTAACCTTTGTTAATTTGTGATTTAGCAATCTTTGAATATATTTCTAGCATAGGTTTACATTTAAAAAATATTCATGTTCTGCTATTGCATGTAATATTGTATACTAGTGTAGAACCCCATCGATCGACGTGCAAAATAGGCCCGTCGATAAGCCCGTTACCCCAACATTAGTGAAGTTAGCCTCTCCTGTTCTCTCTGCATAAGAGTGGAGAGAGAAAAGAAGATGCTAACT